AAAAAAAACGACTGTTTTGCAGTCTAGGATTGTTGAAAGAACCCGAAACGCGTTTATTTCTTTCAATTCTGAGATTAATTTTGTCCAATTTTTATACAAAAACGTACAGCTAACAAACAAAATTGTGTTTGCTTTTAACAAAAAGATAAGAAGTACTTTTGTTAAATACGCCCCCTCCCCCCCCAAAAAAAAAAATCCCGGTGGTGGGGCAATAGCCGTCTCAGCCCTGAGGCTTGGCGGTCCCTGAGCAACCACCAGTCTTATAAATGTAGTATAGTAGTTAATTTCTTATCTCAGGTAATTTTTGTTTTTCTTTTGTTTCTGGGTATGTTAATGTATGCTAATGAAGATGAAACAAAGGAAAAATAAAAATGACCAGAGATGAAAAAATAACTACAACATAAATCGCTTCATCAATTGTTCCAGCCTCATGCAGAACCTTTGAGGCCTCATTAGAGTCTGGTGTTCCATGTTCAAGAAAGGATCAAAACAGTTGGCTGCAAACTACAGGCCTATTTCATTAACCTGTACTTGCAGTAAAATTATGGAGCATATCATGGTATCCAACATTATGCATTACTTTGACCAACACCAAATACTAAGCTACCTCCAGCACCGATTTCGTGAGGGTCACTCATGCGATGACCCAGCCTGGGCAAGGAAATGCAAAATGGCAGAAAAACGGATGCTATAGTAATGGACTTCTCCAAGGCATTTGTCAAAGTGCCCCACCAGGAACTGCTCTGCAAACTGTCTAACTACGGAATCATCAACAGTGTAACCTTAACTTGGTTAAAAAGCTTTCTGTCAAATAGGAAACAACAGGTAGTTCTTGAAGGTTCAATGTCTGATCAAGTTCCAGAGTCATCAGGAGTCCCACAGGGCTCAGTTTTAGGTCCCATTTTATTCTTGGCTTATATAAACGACCTCCCCTGGTGTGTGAAATCTAAAGTTCGTCTCTTCGCAGACGACACCGTGATCTATTTAGCCATCAAGTCCACGAATGATTGCATCCAGTTACAACAACATCTCCTTAATCTGGAAAAGTGGGTATCGGATTGGAAGATGGAGTTCATCTTACACATCACAGGAAAGTGTCATCCGTAAGTTCATGTCTATAAGCTTAAAGGGCAAGTCTTGGACCCTCAGCATTCTGTCAAATACCTTGGTGTCTACCTATCCGACGACCTCCGCTGGAACGAACATATTAAAACCATCTCCAATAAAGCTAACAAAACTCTTGGCTTTCTAAAGCGGAACTTAATACATTGCCCACCCAGGACTAAGGAAACAGCATACAAGGCCCTAGTACGCACACAAAATCTGTTCATCTGTGTGGGATCCACCTACAGCTAAAAAACCCAACCTTGGTTGAGATGGCCCAAAGAGAGCTCAGTGCACGCTGGGTTCTAAATCGCTTCGACGGCAAAGATAGTGTAACCGAAATGCTTTCAACCCTGAAATGGAAGACACTAAAAACTAGGCGAACCATAACACGCCCATCTATGCCGTATAAAATGTGACACAGGCTAGTCTCTCACAAAGATGCCAATCTACAATCCACTGGCCATTCGTACTCAACTCGTTCCCCAGCAGAGTACTCTGACAGCCAACAGCCATTAGGGATTACTACAAGTATTCCTTCTACCCAAGGACAATTACAGAATGAAACAAGCTCCCAAGGGATATAGCATTGTCCAATTCGCTGGCTGCTTTTAAAAATGCAATTTCAAACATTTATTGACACTTTTATTACTTTGCGCTCATAAGCACCATTTCTGTCACTTTATTTTTGTTTTCCTTTGTTTGTTTGTTTGTCCTTTTTTTCTAGAGCGGTCTAAAATGCTCAATATTGAGTGAAAGACCTAAATGGTAAATAAATAAATGCAAGGAAAAAGCCATTTCAGGGGTACAGAGGCATTATACTATGAATTCCTCTTACTCAAGTACAGAAACAATACCTTTTTATGATACTTAATAGCGAAAATAATAAAGTTCACGGTGTCAGCTCAGGAAGCATCTTGCCAGAATTATTTTTCCAGCCCACTGTACGTTCGTAAATTTTGTTTTTGGACCGTAGACTTACTTGTACAGGATTTTTTTTCTTACCCATAAGGACTTGCGGGATGTTTTTTTCAAAATTACCCACCCACTTACCGCCTACCTCAGAAGTAAAATGGTTTACCCCTTACTACAATTTAGTACAAGTGCAGCCAAGACAGCTGAAGAGTCCTCAGGGGCATCAAACGTCAATTTTAGGAAAATATCTGTTCGGAAGACTATTTGAGATCTAGAATGTTCCGACATCGAAAAAATGGTATTATGCCCATTTTTTACGGATTTTTACCCTCTTACTACTACTACTACTACTACTACTACTACTACTACTACTACTACCACTACCACTACCACTACCACTACCACTGCCACTGCCACTGCCACTGCCACTGCCACTGCCACTGCCACTGCCACTGCCACTGCCACTGCCACTGCCACTGCCACTGCCACTGCCACTGCCACTGCCACTGCCACTGCCACT